CCACCCCCTTATCTCCACAGCACGAGGAAGCACATGGCCAAAGGGACTCTGAGAACCTGGGAATCACCAGAGCTCTAGAAGAAATGGCAACTTTGGAAGAAAATTATAACCACACACAGGTGTGGCCAGGAGAAAGGGAGCCAGGGGAAGCAGGGTTTTCTCCAGCCTTCTGAATCCTGCCGTTACCACATTGGCCACATCCAACCAGACACCCATGAGCAGGAAGCCATTGACTCTACACTTGGCCTCCTGTGGACACTGAGAAGGATAGAGGACAGAAATGAACGACCAGCAGAGTCAAACAGGGCAGATTAGGAATTCTTAGGCTGTGGGAGCCTATGGAGCCAATGAGGTCACCCGCTCAGTCCCGCAAAAGAAAGTTAACTTGAGAAAAAAAAAAAGAAGAAGAAGAAGAAGGTACTGGGCCAGAGAGGTGACTGCAGTTATGAGTACTCAGTGCTCTTGCAGAGGAGACCTGGCTTCTGTTCTAAGCACCAGAATCAGAGGGCACAGCTACAATTAGTTCGGCTGCAGGAGATCCAGTGCATTCTTCCAGCTTCACTGCACACCTGCACAACCATAGTGCACGCACAGACACGTCACCTGCACAACCATAGTGCACACACAGACAAGGAAGCCCACATGGATAAAGAAGACAAATTTTCAAAAAGAAATTAAAGAATAAAAAATAAATTATAGCTTCATTTTTAGCATACTCTGTGTATGGATGGTGTCCGATGCTTTTTAGCATACTCAGTGTATATGGATGAAGTCAACTACGTTTTGGCACACTCAGTGTATATGGATGGTGTCTTGCTGTGATAAAACATCATAAAGCAGCTTACTGGGCTCAGGGTTCCAGAGAGTTGGGTCCATGATAGTGAAACAAAGGCAGGAGCCAGAAGCTGCAAGTTCACATTTTCAACCATGGCATGAAACAGAGAGAGCACACTTAGAATGGCACCAGGCTTTGAAGACTCAAAAAATCCCCGCAGTGACATACTTCCTCCACTGGGGCCATACCTCCTGTTTTAGGTAGGGTTTTACTGCTGTGTACAGGCACCATGACCAAGGCAACTCTTTTTTTTTCTTTTTATTTGTTTACTAATATTAATATTATTTATTAATTACTTACATCCCAAATGTTGCCTCCTCTCAGTCCCCCCTTCCAGAGTTCTTCCCCATTTCCCTCCCCTTCACCTCTGAGAAGGTGCCCCTGGGTACCCCTCCTCTCTGAGATATCACATCTCTACAGGATTAGAAAAGCATTCTCTCCTACTGACAAGGCAACTCATAAGAACATTTAATTGGGGCTGGCATACAGGTTCAGAGGTTCAGTGCATTATCATCAAGGCAGAAACATGGCAGCATCCAGGCAGACATGGTGCAGGAGGAGCTGAGAGTTCTACATCTTGATCAGAAGGCAGTTAGGAGAAGACTGAGTGTTCTGCACTGGGCAGAGCTTCAGAGCCCACCCCTACAGTGATGCACCTCCTCCAAAAAGGCCACACCTCCTAATAGTGCCACTTTCCATGGGCCAAACATTTAAGCCACCACATCTCCTAACAGCTCTGTCAAGTGAGGAACCAAGTATTCGAACACCTGAACCTATGGGGGACATTTGCACTCTTACTGCCACAGGGATTAATTTAACTAATCTCCATTACTAACCTAAAGATTGGTATGATGGGTATGTTTTTGCATGCATATTACAGTTTGAATATGAAGCTCTTATCCCCCCCACACACACACACACAAAGTTTATGTGTGAAGGCTTGGTCTGCTGCTGGTAGTCATTCAGAAGTCTTTTTTTTCCTGTTTTTCTTTATAAATAATCCATTGAGTCTAATTAGCTTTGCCCAAATTTGCATGGGTGTGGGCCATCTACTCTAGTGTGGTTGCACCAACCAGAAGCCACGGACTGAAGAAAACAGGCTCTCCCGCTTCTCCGGCTGCCAGCAGCTAGCAGTAGCTTCTTTGCTAGAGGTAGGATCCCATTTATGTTACAATGTTGACTGGCTTGATCCTGTGCAAGTGTTATACAGCAACCTCATGGCTGTGCGTGCAGTGGTGTTACCATGTCCAGAAGACATTGTTTAGCCTCGTACATCCTCTCCCCCTCCCACCTCAGAGATGGTCCCTGAGCGTCACAGGGGAGGAGGGCTCTAATATAGATGCCTGACTTTTGGCTGAGCACAGCACAGACACTTGGACCCATTATCAGTTTCTGTATTAACCTCCATCAGCTGATAAGGCCTGAGAGCTACAGTAGGCAAATGCTTTCATATAGTATAACCAAAAGACACAGTACTTTGATACTTATGTGCTAAGGAATGAGAAAAGGGAAATGTTGTTTTATGTATGTTTCTATAAGAGCATAAAGCTTTCTATGTACTGTAAAGCACTGCAATTTATAACATACAGTACTCTTCAAATCTGGATGCAGGTGTTCAGGAGTGTTGGCATTGGGTGGCGTGACAGCATGTGCAGTTCAGTGTGTGTGTGTGTGTGTGTGTGTGTTGTGGTATAGTGTGTAGTGTGTGTATGTGTGGGGTTTGTGTGTGTGTGTATGTATGTGTAGTGTGGGTGTGTGTGGTGTGAGTTTGTGGTGTGTGTGACCTGTATGTATGTGTGCTATATGTGTGGTGTGTATGTATATGTGAGAGTATATATGTGTGTGTGTGGTGTGTGTGTGGCATATGTATGTGTGTGATGTGTATGTATGTATGCTATGTGTGTGGTGTGTATATATGGTATGTGTATGTATGTGGTGTATGTGTGTGTGATGTGTATGTATTTATGGTGTGTATGTGTGTGATGTGTATGTGTGTATGTGTGTGTGGTGTATTTGTGTGTGTGGTATGTATGTGTATTTGTGTGTGTGTGTGTGTGTGTGTGGTGTTTGTGTATGTTGACAACAAAGCCTACTGTAAAGTCAGGCAATACATCATGAGTAAAGGATCCCAGAAACACCACAGAATTACTGTGCTTTTATATTGAATTAATCGTGGTCATTGTGTGTTTGCTGGGTCAAACTGTTTGCTGGGCTGAGAAGGTTGTGCAGTTGGTGAAGTGCTTAAAAAGACTTTAGCTCAGTCTCCCAGATGAGACTAAATGTGTAAACAATGTATAAAAGCTAGGCTCAACCACATAGACTTGTAACCGCAGTGCTGAGGTGGATCCAAGCAGCTCCTGGGGCTTGCTGGCTGACCAGCCTAGTCTTCGTGGAAAGTTCTAAGTACTGAGAGACCGTGCATCAAAAGATAAGGCGAGTGATGCCTGGGAAACAGCACCCAAGGTTGTCTTCTGTCCTCTACTCACATCCCCTCCTGTGCACACACCCATGTCCCCTCACACAGTCACACAGCCACACAAAGAGAAAGCTGTTACTATGGCTGAGTTATTCCAAATTGAGTTATCTTGCATGTTGCATGACTGCAGCAAAAGGCTATAAATTAATCGAGGTGTTTTAATGTTACGAGACTAGTCTACAGGCTGTAGATATAGCTGAGCAGGTAAAAACACTTGCCTATCTGAGCCTGAAGACCAGAGTTTGATTCCCAGGACCCACGTGGTAAAACAAGACATCTGTCCTGACCTCACATGTAAAACATGCCATGGGTACAACCTCTGTCTCAATCACTGTTCTGTTGCTGTGAAGAGACAACTCTTTTTTTTTGTTTGTTTGTTTTTGGTTTTTCGAGACAGGGTTTCTCTGTGTAGCCCTGGCTGTCCTGGAACTCACTCTGTAGACCAGGCTGGCCTCGAACTCAGAAATCCACCTGCCTCTGCCTCCCAAGTGCTGGGATTTAAGGTGTGCGCCACTACCGCCCGGCCAAGAGACAACTCTTATAAGAGAAGGCGTTTGATTGGGGGCTTGCTTAGTGTCAGAGGTTATTTTATTATCATCATTGCAGAGAGAATGGCAGCA